TGGATTTGGCCAGAAAGCAGAAAAATAGATTCCTATTTTAGAATCACTGAAAATGGAAAAGTTTACTTCAGTAAACTTCCAAAAGCATTAAGTATGCGTAGCGCAGTTTTTGTTAAAAATTTGCAAAGTGTAAAAGAATAAGAAAGAGAGCAGAAGACACTTTCATTTCAATGTGCTCTCTGTTGCATCTGTCATCTTTGAGAAGGAGCACTGACGCGTCCCTCTGCTTTTTGCACTGAAAAGGAGAACAGATTCTCCGTCCAATTATTACATTTCATTGCTTCTTTCATCTTTAAAATCTAACTTTGATTAATTGCCAAAATGCCTTAAGAAGTAATATTTCACTGATTCCTTTGCATTTTTCAGTCTTTCGGTATATTATCTCTTTTTTGATAAATATTAGCAAATAAAAACTAACTTTTTTCTCAACAGAAACAATAACAAATGTTCTATGTTTGATACAAGTTTCTACGTACAACAACGGGTCATCAATGTCTTCACTGATGGTCACATATGCATTCGAGAGTTGAATCAGAAATTGAAAGTAATATTGGAAGAACTTGCACGGAATTAAAAGTCTTTCTGCAGCTTAATCACATCAATAACCTTTGTTTGACGTATTTCAGTGCTTAATACTGTTAACGAAGCAAGCGACTGCTCTTGTTCCATTTTTTTCCAGCAATTCTTGTTCATCTCATGTTCTGCCAGTACTCGATAATACACTCTTATACCTGCCATACTAATTTGAAGTATTAAAATTCGACAAGTTAAGGGCACAAAAACGTTAGCTATACAGAAGTGATTTTTGTAATCATTTGTCTGTGCATTATTACAGCCACCAAAACGATCCATCAAATTGAATTCAACAATTCATTTATTTCTCATTTTCTATCTTAAATTATTGCAACAAATTGGTGTGTTTTGCTCTGAAATCCTTCACTATTATCATTTTTTCAAATTACTTCACATTATCAAATTATCACTTTTTTTTTCATAGAAAGCCAATGAATATAAATCACAGAAACTGAAAACAGTAAAGTTATCAAGTAAAGTATCGTTGTTCTGCACAATTTCTATACAACTGCTGCAGTATTTATTGCACTATCGTAGTTAGTGTTCGGAATAACTTTGAGCTAACATTCCACGACAAATAATGCTTGCTAGTAAAATCCACAAAATGCATGCTTTTGGGGGTTTGTTCTCATTTAATTACAATGTCTTTCATGAAATTTATTAGAAAAAAAACAGAACTAATCTGCAAAATTTTTTTTCTCAAGCAGTTCACTTTTTTGCTTCACTTTTCTATCGCTGTTAGAGCAAACTTTGATTAGCCACTGGCACTAGCTGTAAATAAAATATCTTATCTTATCTTATCTTTTGAAATTGTCACTTCTCATTTGCTAAAAATTTTCTAAACAATTGCAGATTACAAGTAATTGAAATGTGAAATTAGATATGTTAAGTTAAAATGCATTGAAAGATAAATAACTTGTTTGCATATTTAAATAAATTTAGAAAAATTGTTTACAATGTATTTCTTGCATTCGACCTCAGAATAACCTCTTCAATCACATTTTTCACTCACATAAAAATGGCCAATAACACTCGCAAATAAACTTAAATTTGAGTGATTTGCGATCAAATCGAAGTCATTTAAGATATTTGAAACTAAAATGATTGCAATGCTACGCTCTGATCAAACTGCAATATTTTCATTTACAAACATTGTTGCAAATTGTTAATTTTCGTGAGAAATTTCATTTGTTTAATTATTTTTTTGATCGCAAATTTTTAGAATTTAAAAAATGGCAATGCAAAAATTGAAAAGTCAAACTGTGGGAGTGGGAGGAATTTTTTATTCTTCTTGAAAACTGCTAAATGATTCTGTGGGCAAGTGCACTGTCTTCTACTTAATAATTTGATGATATTATGAAGAGTTTTGATATCGAAATAGAATGCTCGACGTTGACATCAATGATATCTTCTAATTCAATCACCGGAAACACTTTCATCCTTCTAAAAATAACGCATTATTCTGAAATTGCGTCATCAAAATTATTAAAATCGCCAATCATTCAATGCAAAAGTTTATCATTTAAATGTCAAATGAGCAAAGATCTGTATATTAATTTTTTACAATATTTTCGAAGTAATTTTTTATATTTTAAGCTTTGATATTGAAAGTTGTTTTATCATTAGTTCATAAAAAATTTATATTTTGCAAAGTTTATAATACATCCGTGGCGACTGAAATAGATTTTGCAGCGAATCAGTTATGATTTGCTACAAAGAAAAAGTTTAGACTTGACTTGATTCAAGTTAAGGCATAAAATAAAGCTTTATTCTTTGTTTTCTTTGATTGCAAAAGAGGAAATCCACTGAGAATTTCCAATTGTTACCGATCGAATTGCGCTTTTCAAAAAAGTAAATTCGAATTTCGAGTAAAATGCCCTTAAAAACAATAACTTCTCTAGCGGGGACTAGTAATAAATTTTCTTCTTGCGAATGAAATAAACAACAAAATCTTATGTCTCGAGCTTTCCAAGTACATTAAAAAGCGAAATTTAATCAGAACTATGAATTATTATAATTATGTAATGAATAATACTTAATGTTTTATTTGTTTCACTCACTTTTGATTTCAATAAAATGTCAAAAATTACTGTCAAAAAATTAAAGTTAATACTAATGATTTGCATCAAAAAGTAATCACTCAATAAAGGAGGTAGTGATAAATAAGGATTGTGACTCATACTAGCAAATTATCAGTAAGTTATCAATACTGCTTGTTAAGAACAATCATGAAAAGTGGCAATGAACATCAAAAAGCTGTTAACAGATAGCAAGTGATAATAAGCAATGATCCATAATGATATAGAGCAGAAGTTTGTGACAAATGTGGCATAATGACGCACACTAATAAATGTGTCCAAAAAGTAATACTATCAATTAGCAGTAGTTCATAACTAATAATCACGAATATTCAGAAAACGCTTTCGTTTAGTGCAAATTATTTGCATAGTCGAAGGAAAAAGTAAAGCTTGCATGAAAGTATGCATACTGAAGTGAAAACTCACTTTTTTATTGCTTCCTCAAGCGAGCTATAAGTTTTAATATTCACTGCAACATATCAGAAATTCAGAAGATTTTGATTTTTGTTCGTGTAAAGTTCTTTGCATTCAATTTTACGTCTCTAAAATGAAAAAAAGTATAACACTTGGAGTAGTTGTCTATCATCTGATGCATTTAGATTTGAGAGCAACTTCAGATTCTTTCATTCTTTGTAGACTGAATTATTTCCTGTATTTCTGAATGAAATAGCAGATAATGTTTGATCGGACTACAAATATGTTTAACGAAAGATATAGATAGATAGTGCTCGAAGATTGAAGATAGAACAGAACTTTCTTCTCAGTGCTCATTGCCCCACCATTCCTTATGATAATTTTTGTACATTTCTCAGCATTCTGTAGTGATAAGTACAATCGTAGTTGAAGTTAGTTGAGGAAACTTCTTAAAACTTACTGATTTTTGATGATAACGTCAACTACTAATCACATTTCTATTAGTTTCATTCTCCAAGCTTTCATAAAATGGAAAAGCTCTTCCTGCAGTCTCTCTCGTTGGGTCAAACGTTTCTAGTCGTAATTCAAAGTTTTTTGAAAAGTGCCATTCATTCTCTTTAAATGAGAGTATCGCACAGTTCAGCATTTATCTGTTCGCTTTTTTGAGTTAATTACTTAAACTATTCTATTTTACACTTCGAAAGTATTAAATTATTACTGATGTTAATTTGTTTTAGTTAAAGTTAATGTTAGCCAAGGCCAAAGCAACCGATACACTTTTACAGTATTGCTGAAACAATAATTTGAGGTGACTGATGCGACGTTAATCAGAATCTTTTCACAAAAGTCATGCGGTCAAAGCATCATTCATCTACAATATTCTTCATTTTGTCATATTCGTTGTTTGAGGTCAAAGTTTACATTTAATTTGAATAATTTTTGAAAATAAAATAATTTATACATTGATAGTTACTATTCTTATCAGCGAATAATCACTGCGGTAAATTAATGCTTCATAAATTTTATACTTTATTCAGTAACTTACCTTTAAATTTACACCATTTGATCAAGTTTTCCTGATAAATTTCTTAAAATTGAAGTCAATTTATGTTCATTTTTATGCAAAATTATTTAAATTTATTTATGACTGAGTAAAAATGATTTGTAAGTATTCGATTTAGCTCAATTTTACTTCATGGAGTGTAATCGTGAGATTGATCAAAATATCTAACTGATTTGAATTTAAATTGCCGATTTTCAATTTTATTTAAATTCAATTATCACACTTATATTTGTGCAATAGAATACACTTTAATTGATTGAAAAAAATCAAATTATTATGCTAAGCAGAATTCAGTACTTACTTTATTTCCTGTATTGCATGAAAAGTTATACGCTTAAATTTGAAAAAAAGCGATGTAAATTAGTGACAACGAAATGCTTTGAAAAATTGAAAGATATATTCTTTTTCTCCTCAACACCACGAAAATTGCAATTGCGAAGATTTGGCTCATTCGAAAGATAACGCCAACATTCATATGTGGACCTTTCTCAAAACTGATTGCTATGCTTATATATGCTTTCTATGTTTTATCATAGCTATGATCAAATTTTGGTAATGAGCCAAGTTTTCCGTTCATAGATTAATTTGGATTTAAAAATTTAATCAGATTTCGAGAAAAAATTTAATTTTGAATGATAATTATAAATCAGTGAGCAAAGCAAAAATTATTTCACACTGAATCTCAGCATTATTTTACATATATTGAAAATATTTGTGCGAAAAAACAGAACTGCAAAGGAATCAGAAATTGCTTGCTTGGTTTTTGCCATTGTAACAAAACATTGCTACAAGTTCCAAAAAATAATAACATCCTTAAAATTAATATTTTTGAAAGAAAAAAATGCATTTATTATTTATTAGAAATTGAAGTCATGAGTAATACTTGGAAACTCGTAAAGTTTTGATACAAAGTTAGTTCATAACTGTAGAGTTTTAAATATTTCATTTATTAAAGTAATCATTTCTGTCATTTTTGTAATATCAAAAATATGGTACTAAATTTGAAAAATTTTAGATAATTTATGGCATTGATGAAGAGTTTAATCTGAAGACAACCTTGCCTCAAGGTTGGGCTAAATGGTCAGACTGGGGGTCATGTTCTGCTTCGGTTTGTATACCTTTTTATGAATATTCTTTTGATCTATTTACCCATAAATCTTTTATTAAAGCGCTTATTTTCTAAACTAATTAAGTCGATTCACTTTTCGAGCCAATTAATATTTCAGAATTCTTTTCATCCCCTTATCATTGCTGAAATTCATTTTGCTTTTCGAAAAATTGTAGAAGCAGACTTGAACATACTTAAAATTATAAAAGCGAATGTGTTAAAATTTCAAATTTTGAAAGGCAATGTGTTAAAATTTGAAAGCTTTAATTGCAGTGTGGAGGTGGAATATCAAGTCAAATGAGACGTTGTTTGGATGTGCGTTGCGCAGGTGTCAACCACCGAGAACGTATCTGCAACATGGAAGTTGGCTTATTTTTTTTCGAATTTTTCGTAAAATATTTTAAAATTGAGTACTGAAATTGATTCATATCGTTTCTAAAATAATATTAAGAATTAAGCTTTTAGCAGATTACTAAATCATACCACTTAACTTCTTTTTGTTTCCATCATTATAGCGCTTACTAAGCAAGTGAGTCCGAAAAATGATTGGAAATAAATTTTAAAAAGTTTTATCAATAATTGATTGTGTAAGATATAAAAATAATTCAAAAAGTGATATATTCTTCAAAAATTTGCTTGCAATTCAGCAATGCATGAAGGCCCCAGTTCACGCACGTGAAACATACTGCTCAAAGTTGAACAATTTATTGAGTGCTTCTAACAATTTGCAAAGTGAGCGATGGATTCCTATTGAAAGTACTCGCCAAGTAAGAGCATATTTTTATATGATAAAATTTGACTTTGAATTTTGGTTATTAATTCTACCCAATTTTCTTTTAACTTACTAGTTTGTGCAATTTATTTTTGAATATTTTGAGTTGGTATTTGTTTTAAAGCAAATTTGACAGTTGAAAAAATAAATTCAATAATTTTCTTTAGTGTGTTTTATTGATTTTTATTCTCAGATACAAAGCAACTTTGAATGCTTTCTAACAAAAGTCTAGAAAAGCAAGCAATAATAATTTTGAATATGCGATTTCCTCTCAATTTATTTTTTTATCTTTTTCGTTATTTAAAGCTTTCCAAACGCTATCAAATTCTGAACAATTTTAAGTGCATTGCTATGTGTCGCTCTTTGGAGACTGGTGAAGAGAAAGAATTGAAGAAACTGCCTGATGGTACCTCCTGTTTCATCGAAGGGTACAACATGTCTGTTTGCATCAGTGGCATCTGTAGGGTATCATATTCAAACATCTTATTCACTCAAATTGCAGCTACATTTTGAAATCTGCTTTTGAATATGCTTAATTCATAATTATCTAAGCCAAGTGTATTCATTTTAGTGCTAAACTAGCAACCATTTTGAAAAAGTATTTTACAGCATGTTGGATGTGACGGCATCATTGGTTCAAATTCTCGCACCGATCACTGTGGTATATGTGGTGGCACTGGTGAGTCATGCACGAGAACGATATTTCAGTGGAAGGACACAAAGCAATTTTCACCGTGTGATGCTACTTGTGGACCAAATGGTATTTTTTTAAACACAGAAATAAAGCATTTATTAAATTGTATGGCGTGAGTTTTCCAAAATTCCCAAGCAATCGACATATTCAAATGATATCATTTTAGCGTAGTCAGTAAATGTAATAAAATACATTTAGCTCACCGTGTATCAGTATCAGTATGCCAAAATATGCGTAATAAACGTGTTGTGCCAGAAAGACTTTGCGCTGATCAACCACGACCTCGTCCAGTTGTCGAGAAGTGTCCTGACATAGTTTGTCCTTCTAAGTAAGTTGATTTCTTATGTTATTGAAATGAATAAGATTAAAGTCAGGCAATTATAAGAAAATGGTTGGAGTAAGTAAATTAAACATCCTTCAAAAATATAAATATCGTAAATGAATGAGACGAAAATCAAAACATTTTCACTCAAAAATATGCAAATTTTTTGATATTTTTGAAAAAATAGTCGCTGTAGAATGCAAAAGTTATCAAAAAATTCATAAAGAACACTACAAGTTCTCACACATTTGTCTTAATTACTCTTGCTTTCACCATAATTTTTTTACGATAATTTCAAGCTTTTAAACATAAATGCAAAGCATGTATTACAAATTTCATCTCATAATTAATCACTAATAACCTTATTGTTTTTAAAAAGCTAATAATTCCTCCTCAAAGTAAAAAACAGTCAAAATTTAAAGTTATATAAGCCTTTGTTAATTTTTTAAAATATTAATTAATTTCTGTGAATAATGCAAATGTCATCGTGCCCGAAGGGCGTAATCAGCAAAGCATCAAGTTTATTTGTCTAATTCAATAAACTGAGCAAGTAGACAGGGAATTATAAAAATATGCATATAAAATAATTTCCAATCCAATTTTCATCTACTTTGTTAATTGTAAATATTTAGTGTTATTTATCAATTTGAAAGCAGAATCGATTCAAATTGCGGACATAATTGTACTCTGCGAGTAATTTACAATTCACCATCAAAACTACTACTAAAAGTACCAATTAGTTCACAGATCTTAAGATAACTCTTTGGAAGGGATGGATATTCGTTCTTGAATGAGTGGTTTTAATATGAGGAGGTAGTCAAATCATGTTGTATTTTTGCTAGTTGCTTATTAAATCTGACTTCTGTATAATTCTTAAATAGTTGTGGGAAGTATTCAAATCCCTTTTATGAATCGCAAAAGAAGCGAGCGAAAGAATGTTGCAGATGAGAAAGATCAAATGATAAGGTCCATTATAGTTTTCCTGCCAAAAACTTCAGAATGATCAACAAAAGGTACTTTTCGTTATATTAGTGTATGGTTCATTTGAGAGAGCATTTCCTATTATTTGTTTGACTTTCAACCTTATTACCCCAAAGAATCGCTACTTTCAACGTGGGAAAAAGTAAAACCTTACTGCAAAAATGTACAGTGCGATGTTCGAATTGCCATTAGCGTAAATTGTCAGGAAATTTTTGAAAGTATGAAAAGTTTATAGAAAAATAGAAAATGTAATATCGCATGCATAAAAGAATTAAATTGCTTGAAAAATCGCAAGAAGACGACAGTCAAAAAACAATTTCAGGTAAAAAATATATGAGTTCAAACTGTGCTCATAAACATTTAAATTTTGTCTGTACTCAAAGATTTTGTTTCTGAAAGTTATAAAGCTTAAATTCCGATTATTTTGCTACCAAAAAGGCTATAAATGGTTGAAAATTTGAAATTAAACTTTATTTTTTAAATCACAAACTAAGTTCCCCAAAACGAAAATGCAGAAAAATAATTATTCAAAAAATATTTTGGTGGATTTTCACCAATTCGTAAATAATTGTAAAGCATTTGAGAGACTACTTGAAATAACTGTTCAGGAAAATGAGTATTAGTATTAAAAATTTGTTATTTTTGTATATATTTAGAAGCCAATATCATGAAGACATCTCTTAAATTCAGCCATTTTTAGAATCAGAAATAAAGGGAAATTTTCTCAGAGAGGAAAAATTCTATTTTGACAACTGAAAACTTAATCTTTTTGAATTAAATTATGTCGAAAAAATCAAATTTGTAAGTTATGTCGAGGAAGTTTTTGCTCGATAAAAGAAAGGATTGAATGAATAGATTGGATTGAATGAATAGTTTTTCAGAATTTGAAAATGACATCTTTCTTCTTCGAATAAGTAATGTTAGTACAAATTGCACGTGAAAAAATTTCATTTCATTCAACTGTAAAATCGAATAATTTTTTGAGATATCCAAAAAACTAACTTTCCGTAAAATTTTGCCGTTATCTGCAGGCAAGTGAATTTAAAAAATATTCTTCAGTAAGAAAGAATTCTGATTTTTTGAACAAATATGTAATTAGCAATATCATGAAGACATCTTTACAGCAAGTTGATTTAAAACGAATGTTTGATCAGTCCTGAATCTGATGTTACCCAGAATTTATTGCAGTATTTCACATGGAACATTATAGATTTTGAGATTTTGACAACAATGTGATATTTGATTCAGCCAGTCTTCTTTATAATTGAAATTCAGATTTATTATTCACAATATGATTAAAATGAGAATGACTAGAATTGCAATATCGCCTAGCATTAATTAAAATAGTTTGAATAGACCAAAATACAACTATTTTATACTTGAATTACAGTAAATTTGAACTAGATAATTGTGCAGGAGTGACTCGTAATATTTGCCGACCTTATTCGACTTAATACATATAAATAATAATCTTTATAGCATTTGTTCAAACTTTTTGCATTTCACTTCAACTGCAATAATTTCAACTTTTTTCTTTTGCGGTTCACTTGTTTTCATCCTTTCAATACTTGAGTATATGTTTTTCAAGACTAAGAAAGATCTTCTACAAAACGACAAGGCTGAAACTTCTATGTTTTCTCCTTGAAACTAAAAGAGATCACTTAACTACTTCGAGTGCGAGAATTATTAGTAAAAGCAATAAAACAGTCTGAAAATTCATCTCAGTTTTGTCTTCCGATTCCCACATTTCTGCTAATTGTCTATTCAACCTAAACACGGAAGAATTCGCAGATAAATACAAAAATGCGAAATTGTGTTTGGGAGTACATCTTTGCTTGCCTGTATGTTTTTACAGAATTATGAAAGTAGAAGACAAAATTTGCATTCATTCGATTGTACTGAAAACGCAAAAACAGTAATTCAATTTGCAGTGCCTTTTTATTTTTCTAAAATAGTATAAAAAATTCCTGCCAGTGAAATTTAAGTATTTGCCTAATGGAAGCAACCGGTTGTAAGCGTTAATCAGCAAAGTCTGACTGATTCATTGCCGGAAAAACATTGCATTAAAATTAGTCTATTATTTTGCTCTCTCATTTGTGAGTACAATTTTAACTTCAGTTACTAAATATTTTTCTAAAAATGGAAGTGCACCAATCTGAGACTTTTTCAGTGCACGAAAATTCACTCAGCAGAACGCTTACTTTATCAGTCAACTTTTGATTTATTCGAAATATAAAAGCAATTAGACATTCTTTTTTCGCATTACTCAATATGACAAACAGCTACAATAAATACTTCTTTATATAATAATATTCATAAAAAGTAATGACAGATGTCATTTCATTTGACGACTGACTATCAAACCAAATATTGGAAATTTATTAACGGCTGGAAAGTATTACAAAAAATGAGTTGAAGGAATTTGATTTTGGAATCTATTGAGGTTGGGATTTGCAGAGATTTGTAGAATTAAAAAGTAGCCGAGTATTACAACGAAGTAATACGGAGGTATTTTTCAAAGTTTCTTAAAAATTTGTTTCCAACAGAGGAACTCTTCAACCTTTAATGAACATTAGATTTTGTACTTGTATCATTTTGAAGCGACTCAAACCCTTTAGCTAAAAGCTTAGGTTATAGTCCAATCATTTTATTAAATCAATTAAAAAGTGATATGAGCCCGATCATAATTTCTATCCAGTTGACCTCAAATCTGAATCAAATAATTGCCCTCACCACGCCTATTCCTTCTACTGCTCATTTTGTCTAAATATGTGCAATAGAAGTTCACCAGTAATTTTTCATTTCCTTCACCCATTAATTGTATTAAAAGTGTTTGCTAACAATTTTCAAATTATTATTTATTATTTTTCTTCCCAAAAAATGCAATTAACTTTGAGTTTCGTCTAAAATAAATAATTTTTTCATGAAAGTGGAAAATTTTATGGTGTTGTGCTATTATGACTACTTTCACTACTAGTATTCCCTATGGAGCAAAAGTTCACGCTGGAATCAAAGCTTTCTTTTGCTTTCCATGAAAAATCAGCTTAATAGGTCTTTGAAAGTTAGAGAAAGAGAAGGTAAAGAAGATAATATCCATTGTCAATTATCAGTAAGTATTCCAATCACTTCTGCGTCAATATTTCCGTTTCTGAGATTTTTGCAGCACTTTAATATTTGCCAGTAATGATGAATTCTTTGCTTGTCAGAAGCATTATTGTTATTCTCTTCAGACCATCGATTACCGTTTCATATCAGTAAGTTAACTTTGATAATAAGTTAACGCAAATGTAGAATTCCACTATTGTTTTTTTGTTTTATTTATGTATTTTTGTTTGTAAATATGTGCATTTTTTTTGCACCCCTGCAAACGCTAATTGACACTTTCTGCACATGCCAATTTGTAAAAGAACATACTCACACATATTTATGCATCACTCACACTTTCTTTGCAGACTCACGCTACGTAGGTATTCATGTAAAATTAGCTCCACATATGAATTGTCACAAACTTCTAATCCATGTGAGTGATTGGACTTACATAAGTCCAGTGATCAAACTTTTGATTTGACTTGATCAGATTGAAGGTTAAATCTGAATAATATATGCATGAATACCTAACTTGACGTTTTAGTCTATTCATACATGCATAAAGTAATCCTTTTTGCTTTATTGCAAACTGTGCTTAGCAATTTATTATTAATAATATCAATAAAATTCAGTGCTACATTATATTAGCGAAACATTATATTAGAGCAAATGAAGTACTTCGGGGCAACGTAAATGATAGCGAGCGAAAATCGCATTTTACAGGAAAACCGTAACGCAAGTAAATAATACCTATGTAATTAATTAATTCTGCTTCATCTTTGTTTATTAACTTTTGTTCAAGTAATTAATTACTTTGTAAAAATTATTTTCTACTTTTCAGCTGCAGGTTATTTGCAATCGAATTTTCTTCATACATTTACTTAAATATGAGGGAAATCTGAGATGGGTATAAAAGTTTTAAGATTGAAGTGTGTGCCAATTCATTGGCAATGCAGTGATCAACTTAACTTATCACCTGTACAAGACAAAGTTTTATTTAAATTATCTCAATATTTTGATTAATACTGAAGTAGCAACGGCAATAAATTGAAAGTTATCAAAATTTTTTCAAGCATTTGCATTTCCTTCAATAAACCATTCATAGTGTGCACATAAATCATTTAATATCTCATAAGGAATAAGTTTTTTCCCAAGTTTAGATACTAAAATATTGTTCATTTTTCGAATATAAACTAATACAAGAATTAGAAGGCGATTTTGGGCTAGAATAACTGGATTAGCATGAAGATTCAGATGTGTGAAAAGTTTGCTGTAAGGGAAATCATAGAACTTTGAAACAAAAGTCATACTCTTTGATTCAACACAAGTCAAATTTGAATTTTCGCTTTTGTACAATTGTTGCTGCTAAAATTTCCTTTGTTATTTTTTGCTATAATTTTTTGTTTTCAGCTAAAATATATTCACTTGAATGTTTGCAATATTTAAAATAATACAATGTGTACAAGCTGTGATTTTTTTCAATTACTTTGTAATCTTTTTCCGATTTAAAAAAGTAATGCTTTTAGCAACAAGCAAATTGAATAATAATCAAAAAAGGATACTTCTGTCTTAATAACAAAATATACAAAACGAATGGAAATTTATTATTTACTGGGAAACAGTGAAAGGTATACATTTCCAAAAATATACACTGATCTGGCCTGAAAAAAGTTAGAATTAACGCGTATCACTTTACATGCTAATAAAACGTAAGTCACAATGCAGTGCTATCACTGATCACTTGACTTGAACATTTAGTACTGATCTATCACTCAAACACAAAAGTTTTTGAGATATATTAACAGATTATTTTGTGCCTTTTTTCTGCATGCAATTATTGTAAAATTATCGTAAATGCAAGTGTATACTTTACTAATTGTTACTTGTTATGCATGCAAATGTCTGCTTTTTTTCAAGATTTTTTCAGAAGGATTAACGCAACATAGAAAATACTTCCACAAACAAAACACTCAAATAGTATTTTTGAATTAATAAACCGAAGCTTTTTGGGCGCGAAAATCGTGGAAAATAATTATTAACTTTCTTCAAGTAGTGAGGCTTTTTCTGATTAGCTGTAGCTTTAATCGAACACACAATTAAGTTGAAACTTAAAAAATTTTTGCAGAATTCTCGAAGGATCACAAAAAATTTAATCTTAATGTTTCTCTCAGAGATTTTATATTTTGTTTCTACTTGAAACATATAAAAAACGATTAAATATTCACAAAATTGCAATGTTGCTTTCAATGTTGCTCAGAAGAAGCACTTCATAAAATTTTAAACATTGGTGATGTTGAGAAAATCGAAATGCTGAGCACGGGTAAGATGAAAATGATATTTGCGCATATACTTACAAAAATAATCAAATTTTTTGAAATTTTTGAAAAACTTTTCTGAATTTGATTTAAATGTTTGCTTAATCCTTCTGAAGTACAGTAGTCTTTGTTACTCCTGCAGCCTTCTAAATTTAGATAAAAGTAGTATGTACGGATCATGAAATATATCTGATCAAATTCTTTACAAGATTTCTGATCACATTTTGCAAACAAAATGTTCAAATTCAAAAAAGACTGAAATAAATTCTGCTCTGTTATATATGGAATATTCGTACATATTTTCTTTTTGCACTCTCCGATTTTGGCTTTGAAGTTATAATTTTTCATAAAGTTTGTTAGGATATCACGTAATTTGTTTAGATGGATAGCTGGAAAATGGTCTGAGTGTACAGTGACCTGTAATGGTGGACATCAGTCAAGGGTAGTATATTGTGTAGAAAATTTCAACGATGTCAATGGAGTACTGATAGAAAATCGAAAAGTAGATGATCAGTACTGCTGGCAAACCAAAAGACCGGTATGAAATTTGCAGTATCTCTGATTATTTCTATTTTTGCAAACAGTTATGGGTTATTTTAGACAATAATATGTTGTTTGCAGTAGAAAATATATTCTTCCACAACTATCTCTTTTACTCATAATCGAAAAAAGTAAACGAAGTCTACTTTAATAATTAATGCCAAACTCTGTTTCTTTAAGTGCAATAAAGGCAGTTGAGGTCAAGGTTTAAGAGATTTTTATATATAAACATTTTTTAAAACAATTCCAAGTAGGTCAGATGTCAAACTTTGTTTCTTCGTATGCGTAGCAAAGTTCATTTTGTTCTAAACTGATAACATAATTTCTTTATATAACTCACGAACAAACGAATAAATTCATCAAGAGATAAATGCTTCAAAGTGTGGTTAATCTAAAATTAGTCAATATTAATTAGATCTCTAAAATTAGTCAATATTAATTAGATCTATCTAATTTCTACTTTGAGAATTCATTTCGTATTATTTTCTATCAATAAAAGCATTGACCACACTAGTCTGCGATGAGATTAATATCCAACTCAAACAAGATAAATGCAAGTTTTGAGAGTTTAATTGATTCGAGAAGTTTATTATCATCTGTGCATTTTTTTACTTTCACATTACATGAATGATAAATGTTGTTCGCCAGTGAGTTATAGTTCCACTTTTTGTCTTCAGAATTTGGTATTTCCGAAAATCACAACTTTACTAACTTCAGATTACAAGCCGAAAATGCAACCGAAAAAGCTGTCCGAAATGGGAGAAAGGCGATTGGACTTCTTGCTCAGTTACATGTGGCAAAGGTTTCCGTAGCAGACAGGTAGGTACATATGATATAATATCCTATGTAAATCTCAGAGTTTGCTTTTTTTTCATTGCATGAAACCGTCTTAAGAAAAGTGTAACAGAACTGGAAAATGATTTGCAACCGTTCGATTTTTGAATGCAGGTAGAATGTAGACAAGAAGGCGATCGTCTTGAAGATTACGCCTGTAATAATACAAACCGTCCAGATGATGAGCAACTCTGCTACACGGGCACAACGTGCCCTAATGAATTCCAGAGCTGTAAGTGAGTTCAGTTCAGTTTTGCTACCTTAACTATTCACAAGCACATTTTAAGCTCGTCAAATTACTTGTAATTAATTTTCTATCAGTTGCAAATCGCTAATTGTTATAATATCAGAGATGTTAAGCTGATAGCAGTTTCTCACACTGATACAGTCTTTAATCCTTAATTGAATCCTTCACTTTCATATTTCACTGTAGATTACTGTTTTAAGAAAATCAATTTGAATTGAATTTTAAGTTCAAATGTCTGAAAAAATTTTTCATAATGGTTTCAGTTTTTTGATAAAATTTTCAAATTTCCCAAATATTTTTTCAACTTCCCATATACGATAAAGTTCCAGAAATCATATTTCAAACACTTGAAGACCGTATTTAGTTTAATGTACATATAATAAAATTGAAGAGTTAATAACTATAATTATGGCACGGCACTTCAAAATCGCTCATGGATCTGTCTTAATATTGCGATTGAAAAATGCTCGCAAGATTTTTGAATTATATTGTTTTTTATTTATACGAAAGAATAAGATCATAAATTACTCAAAAAATATTTTGCTCGTTTTATTTCTGGCCTGACAGATGCAATAAATGCCACGAATTAATTCCCTCTGGAATCTGATTTCAAAGGCATATCAAAGAGTTGTTTTCTTTGTTTTGCACAAAATATCATTCTTGGAATATCTCATGCACGTAACAGAGCTCCACACTCTGATAGTTCTAGCATGCAAATATTATAAAAATAATGTGTTTTGATATATAATAGTTTTTCTATACGAATGAATATCTTTTGCAAGCTCAATTCTTCCTATGAAAACGTTTGAATAGCAAGCAGCTTTTAAATAATAAAACAAACAAGTAGTATTATTATTTAAATAATTCAAAATTACAAACGCTATACTTATGAATGCTTTTGGCATTGCCATTTCGACTATTCGAATAACTTAATTAATTCACTTACTAAAAAAATCACTTCATCACACTCTATTTTCAAAATTTTTGACAGTTATATATACGTTTTATGTTCTGAAAGTCAATGTGACTAATACAATACATTTTATAAGTTACTGCTTTGAAATCCCTGAAAAAATCAGTGCAAAATTGACAAGCTTGACTGAAATTATTAAAAGACAAAATTTTTGAAGATATTTCTTAGCTCAGCGATGGAAGTGTGTGAATGTTTTTTAAAGATATATATTTTTGCTAAAAAGGTTTTGTTCTCAGTTTGATTAATTTTGCGCAAGCAAATTCACCGTAAAGTTTTGCAATTGCAATGACTGTTTGAGAAAACATTTTGCGAAGAAGTAGCTAGAAGTTTGCTTTTGTTTCCACCAAATAAATCATCCTTGACTTCTTCAGATTTTCCGCTTCTCAAATCATTTATTCTCATGCAAAGAATACAACAACTCAAGTGAAGAATGACATCGTTTTCATTGTCTCTACATAAATTTATTCAGAACTTTCAGAGTAAGTAGAGCCTTTCAACAGAAGTGCACAATACACTTAGTAATCTCTAAGCAATAAACAAACACATACGAATAGTTTTTAAGTAATATTGATAAAATCTTGAAATAAACTGCTGAAATATGTCATAATTTTGGAAAAGTTCAGAATTATGAGTGCAAGAATTAGAATGACAAGAAGTATCTGCAGAAACTTGCAAATTTTCTATTTCTATTTCTATTCCATTCGAAGATCATAAGTTTTGTGCCATATTTCTGTAACGAATACACTGATTTGAGTTCTTGCATTGATACTGATGTGGTCTTGGCTGATATTATACACTCAATTTTCCACAATTTCAGATTCATTCAATAGATATTATTATTTGATAAAATTTCTGCCCTCATTTATTTCATAAATTTTAGAACAAAACCTAAAATACTTTACAAAATCACATCTAAAAAGTCTAAATTCTATATTCTTTTGCTTCCTAATGACAAATACGATCAAAATATTGCAGTTGAGGCAAGTTTTTGAAGCACATTTCATACTTGAAGACTATTAGTTTTGATAGATAAGCACTACAATACTGTATTGCTACGATCGAAATTATAAGCATTCATTAGACTTCTGAGTCATTCTCACCTCTATTATTTTCATTTTTTCTTCATAATTTGACTACAATCTTTTTAAGCTCATTTAATAAAAGTATATTTTCTATATTTACTTCCATTTAATCGTTATTAAATCAATTTAATATGCGAAAGCTAAGAAATGATCAATTTCAGCAATCAGCAATGTGATTCCGAGTTCGTTAGATCGCTTTCGGTGAGTTTATTTGATATTTGTTATTTATTTGACCTTTTACATACTTTTGAGTAATTTTATTTTGTACATGAAGAGATTAGTTTAACAGTTATTTGGTATATGATTAAAAAACACTGACTCGGTCAAATATTTTTGATAACCTTTTGCCCTAACGGTAGAAAATTTCTTAGAAGGCTTGGTAGTACTTCATTCATGATTTCTTTTAATCTTGAGATTCTAGTCTGTTTTTGAAAATGCTTCGTATAAGCATGAACTTTTCCAGTCCAGAAATATGTGTTATAAAATGATTTGGTATGATTTATTTTCCACTAGAAAAATTAAATTGTCTCACTTCTGTTTACATTTGCTAAATCTTTTAGCTTTTTATGGTCAAATTTTGACGCATTTACGTGAAAGTCTCTAAGATGATAGCATCAAAGTTTAAAATAGTGTAAAGAGTCGTCATATTAATGCAAATGCATTGAAGTTTGACTGACTGTTGTTGGGATGAATAAGAAGCATTCAAGTAAAACGTTTTGAACAAAACTTATTGTTTTTTCTGAGACTGTACTTCAACTTCTACAAGTCTGAACTTCATTTCGGTAGATTTTCATTACTATTTTTAGATGATTGGATGGCTTTGCATTCGGAATATATTCAAAGTATAATCCAATAAATGCTTTTATTTTTTATTTTTCGCCTTGTAACTATTAAAAGTGTCAACAAAATTGAGCACATAAAACTAATACATACTTAACACAAAACTTCAGTAGAATCATTTGCTCACAGATTCTGTCTGACAAACAAATCAGTTTTCGAGCTGAAACTTTTCTAAATTTTACAGTGCATATAATTTATGTTCAAATAATTTGCAGTTTGCATAACTTCCTAAAACCAAAAGTACGCATTTATCTATTTTATTTATAATTTATTTTTCCTTCTGAAACAAAATTTCAATAGAATTTTACGCTCTCATTCCTTCTGAACTTTTTTTTCTGTGAATAAATTCGGAAAAGTCATACATTCACTTTTTTAAGAGATTGTTATTTTTTCTGATTTTTCAACTTAACACGCAACTTATCAAAAATTGTGCTGTTGAATTTGTTGCTTAATGGCTATTCGTTAACACTGCTCGTACAACAAATTTTATCGTTGGCTAAATTCATAATTATTAAGTAAAGTATGCTCAATGTGCTAATATTATTGCGATATCAGATTAAATTGAGCTAAAATTACAATAAAATTAAAACAATAATCATGAAAAGACTGGCGAAATAATATGAGATAATGAGAGATTTTAAACAAATCTGATATGCATAATAAATTAGTAGATGAAAAATTGCTGAATTTTGAGAATAAATCAAGATTGTGAGCAAACATAAAGTATTTGGAGTTGCTTAGTTGGTTATTTTTGCAATTTTCATTTATCGCACAATTTGATCTTGTTATAATTGTCAGTTCTTTATTTAACTTCTATTTTGGGCGTATAAATAAGCTTATAAATACTCAAAATGACTGGGATCAGAAAAAGTATTTACGATCTTCAATCTTTGCAAAAATCTGCATAAATCAGTCATGCATGAATGATAATTTATTTCTTATATTTATTGCTGCGAAATTCAAACTTCATCATTTTGCATAAACATTCGACAATTATTTTTCACTTGGAAATTGAAAGAGTTTATCTAAAAATGCTAAAAGTATAAGACAGTTTTCCGATGTTTCTAAATTTGAATAGTTACAATCAAACAAAACTTTATGATACGACTCGCATTCTTAAAATTTGTTTCCATTTGTAACATTCAGAGGCGCACATAACAGCAATTGAAGAAGACAAATGACTGCCTGAAAAGGAGACTTATTCTAATTGAATTAAACTTATTTCTACTTTAACAACAAATGAAATTCTTGCAATAGCGAATAGTCGCAACTTTCTGGAATAAATTTAGAATCCGATGAAGATTTGCATAGAAAATAAGTCGATTAACTTTGCATCATTTAAAATACTAAAAAACAAGACAAGCTATCCATCCATTTCTAAACTTCATATTTGCATGCAGAAATTCGTAGTTATGATAACTTTCGAACTTTGCTAAACTTCTAAAAATTACTATGAATTAGCATTTTTATGATTTGCACTGAAAACAACTTGAAATCTTCAATAAAGCTAATGGTGCAAAACATCTACGATATCTTTTTCACAGTTATTTCTGAGCTATCTTATCATTCAAAAGTGTATTTCTAGAAACATATATTCTGATCTTATCATTTATTTCAAGTTCTCTCTGCCAGATTCAATATCGTTTCCAACCGTAGTTTCAGTTTGAATTCTTTAAGAGAATAAAAAGACAAAATTTGCTTTCTTATTTTTCTAAAGCTCACTTGCTTAATGACTATGCAAATTTCTCGCTATTTTTTGCATCCATCCATTTTTCATTAGGTAAAGCCTGTTGAATTTATACGAAAAAAGTAATGAATTTTCAGTCTTTACTGCTTGTTATACTCCTCACAATAAGTATCTTTTCTTCTGCTCTTCAAATCCTAATTTGCTTTCAAAATTTTTAGTGATTATTGATTACTTCATCGAGAGTTTAACTTCAAAAGTCATGAAACTGTTTATGAGCAATCTAAATTCTCTTATTAAATTTTTGAAAGAAAAGGGAAAGTCTTACAAATGTAATCGTAATGCTCAAAAACGTTTCTTCCATTATGCCATACCGAAAATTGTATTTGTTGATCAAAAGTTTCATGTACTCAT